CGGTTTGGGCTAAAAAGGATCGCGGGGAAGCGCAGAGGAAGAAAAAATAAAAATAAAAATAAAAAAAAAGGGAAGGCCCGGTCGTAGTCGGCAGGATTCGAACCTGCGCGGGGAGACCCCAATGGATTTCTAGTCCATCGCCTTAACCACTCGGCCACGACTACACCGCTGGGGGAAAGACCTTGGCAAGGGAGCTCCAGAATTTTTTCCTTTCCCCTATTCATTTTTTTTCTCTCCCCTTTATTATTAACAGATAAAAACATTTGCTCTAAGTCTCCATAAAAAACATATGCTCTCCTCCTATGTGGAAATAGGCTGCACCAATTCCCCTGTTGTATTTGCCCGAAATAATTACTGCAAGACTGTTGTATAGCATTAACTTTAATAAAAAATAATCCAGTTCCGTTCTGGTTGCTGGGTGCCTTGTTCACGGTAACAGTAGTGTCTTTCCAGCAAAGCAGAGGGCAGACCTTTGCCCCCTGCCACTGGAGGGGCAGCTCTGCCCTGGAGCCAGCCCTTGCTTCTGGCCTGGCTGCGCTTCCACTTGGCAGTAACACAAAACCCCGTAACCCTAGTAATCAGGTTACTCAGAAGTGGTAATGCGTGCTCAAACCTTTATTTTGAAAGGAAAGCACCTTTCGCACACAGCTGCTCCCTCTGCGGCCCTGCACAGCACCCACAGCCACTGTGGGGAACTAGGTCCATTTTCGCGCTTGTGGCTGCAGGTTCTTCTACGCTGAGAAAAAAAGCTTCACCCTGGGCACAGCTTCCTGCTATTTACTGCTCGCAGCTCAATATCCAAGCAAACATCTAAGGAAATGCTTGGGAACAGTAGAAAAGGAACAGAAAACAAACCAGCAGCTATCATTTTATGTGTGCATGCCAACGTCCAGGGAGTGCTGTGCCCACACCGTGACTCCCCAGGATGCCCCAGACCTGGAGCAGCTTCCAAATGAGGACCGAGTAACTAGATTAGGACTTTTCATCTCGGGAAGAAACAGCTGAAGGGGCTGGGAACGTGCTGGAAGCCTATAAAGTCATGGGAGGCATGAAGGTGGTGAATACAGACCAATTATTCACTGTTTCTCATGAAGCAAGAAGTGAGGCGCTTCAGATTCTCGTGACTTCTCAGAGTCAAAACAAACACAAAGGGGAGACTTTGTACAACACAGAGGTGTTCTTTCCTAAATTCTAGTTGTTTTCTCTCATTTGCTATTGCCAATGGATATCTTTTGTTAGATAGAGAGTAAATACCACGACCCAGCTGCCTCTTCAGCTACAACTTTTCTGACATAGGCATTACAATTGCCAGCAACGCCACGATCTACCACCAGCTGGAAAACACTCTACTTTCGAAATGTGAATTGTTCTCATGTAGCTACTGCTCTGCGTGGTGAGGGTTAAAAAGGCCCAGACTGGAGTTACCCAAAGCATGAGTATATCCTTAACAGTTATATGCTTAAACAAATTACTTCTTTAATGGCATTTTTATCCCTAATTCACTTACGGAAAAATCCAGTTTGTTCAGATGGTAACAAGGAAAAAGTAGCAGGCAGTTTGCCACCTGAGACAGTGAAAAGAGAGCAGGCTGAAACTTTGAAGGGCAAACACCTACTGAGGCAGTTCTTGTGGCAGTTGCCAAGCTGCATCCCTCCAGCCTTCGGCTGGGTGCGTGTGAAGGCCGCTGGTTGGATGGTTCAAAATCTGGGGCTCTTCTCCCCACACCGAAGTCTCTGCTCCCCTCCAGCACTGCTGCTAGGCTCTGCCTTTGACCTCGCAAGACTGAGTGCACTGTATTAGCGTGCATATGATGTCCCAACGTTGCCCATTTTGGTGATTTGCTCACAAATCAGATTTGTCAAATCACAAAATCACGTTTGTCTCATCATACATGGCATTTTTTTATAAACCCATAGCCCACATCACACAATTACTTAAAAATCATCACCTGTTTGGAAAATAGGATGAATCTCTCAGTGTTGCTAACTTCTGAAGATCAGAAAATAATGAGTTGATTAATCCATGGGGTAAAAGCAGAGTCTTTGATCAGGTGGTAACTGTGAAGAGAGTGTTTCTGATGGAATCTCGGCATAAAAGGTATAGAAAAATCAAACCTGTCAGAAGCAAAGTGCAATATGCAGATAGAGCTGCCTGGTGGACCCGGTGACAGCTGAGTAACAGTCTTGCCTCTTCCAAAAGCAGCACCTGAGAATATGTGGAATAAGATTTCCATGTTGTTTTGGATACTACTTGGAAAATTTATTCCACTGGACCATTTTTTTTTTCCTTTTTTCTTGCCAGTAGAAAAGAACAGCCTATGAGTGTTGGTCAGATACTCTGCACCCAGGCTGTCAGATGTGGTGGCGGAGGGACTCCTTTGCAGAACTGATCATCTTTTGGAGATATGCCAGGGGAAGGTACGTGGGGGATGCATAGCAAATCTGAGAACCAATGCTACTGTTGTGTAACATCACTAATAAAGTTATGATTCCCTGCCAATATTTGGGTTACCCTCAGTTGCTTCTTTCACCCGTATGCATCTCTCTTGGCTCAACCCAGTTGTGTATGAGTTGAAGAGAGAGAAAAGGACTCTCTAAACCTCCAGGACTCTTTTCTTTGGGACTAGTGGCCTTTTTCCTGCCTCTTAACTCTCAGATTTTGTCTGAAGTCGTTTACTTTAATACATTCTTTTTTTCCCCTGCTTGCTCTTCCTTTCTGGACCCTTACCAAATGGAAACATATTCATGCAGTCAACTTTCAGTAGACTAAATTATACATAGCTGCTGCATCTCTGTCAGAAAACTCTTAGTAACTGGGAGTAACTGCCCAGACACAATTCCGTAATTTTTAATGCAGAAATGCATGGTACTTGGTAGAGCCTCAGTGATTTCTGACTAGCTGAGGTTGGACCAGATTCATGCTAACATGGGTCAGAGATGACTGTGACGAGTTGAAGAAGGCGTTCGAAGAAAAGGAGGCCCGTACAATTTCAGTCAAATGTCTCTAGAAAGTGGGAGAGAAGAGTGAATGCATGACAGGTAAATCAAGCTCAGCAGACGGTTCAAGGAGCTTCATATGTGGAAGTTTCAAGATGTCTTAGCATTAGAAAGTGTCCATATAAAAGGGGCTCTTGCTGACGGATGGACTCAACCTGAAAACCTAAAATAGCAGCTTTCCAGAACAGAGGTGTGACAGAGAAGCCAGATTTTAAACAAGGAACATATGGAGAGATTCATGTAACCTCTATACCTGGTGTAGCACTTTTCAGCCGTCAAGTGACTATTTCACCTGTCGTCATCATCATCACCCACAATCTTTTAGCTGTCGTTATTGCATAGAAATAAAAGGAAAATGTGATGAGTTATTCTTAGAACGCAAAACTCAGACCCCTAGTGTAGATATATCCCGATTACAATACAGTAATTTTATAAACTAAATGATTTTGGGACACTTTTGAACATTTAGTTCTCGATAATGTGGTTCTGGAAATCTAGGTGCACCCTCCAGGAAACTGCATGACAACCTGCATCCTGAGCTGACTTCCAAGTGATAAAAACCTTTTCATCAAATTAAAGTAATTTAAGTTCCCAATATGTCTAGTGGGTTACCATGCTATGAAACAAGCACTTTTTGGCTCAGAGCAACAGTGTCTGGCTCTGGTGGGCTATCTCAGAGCAGAGGGGTCCCAGAGGCTCAGCAGTGGGTGCTAAATGAATTATTCTCATTCTTCCCCACCTCCTTACTAAATCCCTCGTAGGGACTAAAAAGTTGTTTCTACTCTCATTCCATAGTACCCATCTGCTTCTCTGCCTCCTGACTACACACCCAGGAACAGGGCTTGCACGTTTCCTTCAACGCTGAGTGAAGTACTGCCATGGGCCATGTGACGAATAAGGGTCCAGGCTGTTACAGTGCACCTTGTGCTTTTATCAGAGGCGTCTAGTGAGGTGTGCATGCCCCACGACCCTCAAAGCCCTGGCATGCAGGGCTTGTCACACATGAGAGACATTCTGCTTTAAACCACTTTCCAAAACCCCACTCCCAGATGCACAGCACAGGACCATGGTGCATAGCTATTACAGACCCAAATGCATTAGATACCTAGATAAGGGTGATTTGGCTCAGGAGGAGTGAGGATTAGCTCTCCTTGCCGCTGAATTAATTTTTCTGTCCGCTAGAGAGCACTCAAATACAACCCATAAACCAGAGACAGGTTGCTGGAGCGAACAGCCACTTTTGCAATTCCCTCGCTGTGTCTGACCCTTTGGGAGCCAACGTCCATCCTGAACTCATATCTGGGAACAGTTTACTTGCATGGGCAATCCCACTGACTCCAGTCTAACCCTCAGTTCACGTTCAAAACATGACTCTGGGTTCAGTTACCCTGAGGTTTTCTACAAAGCTGACACCAGACGATGATATG